GCCTAGAGAGGGGCTCAGAGCGTGGGAAAAAATGGGACAAGGTGCTGCTGCCACCTAGTGGTGGGTGGTGGGAAAAGCAGGAAGGACCCCAAACCAGCTGGGAATCAGAAGCCGAAGGACATCCACATCCATCCTCCAGGACAGGACAGGAACACACACAGCAAACACAAAAAGGGCCCACAGCAACACAGGGCTCAGCGAAAGACCCACAAAAGAACGGCCTTTGGAAACCCCCCCCCCCAAAAAAGCACCAGGAGAGGCAGTCAGCAACGGGCAACGGGCGGACGGCCAGGAGGACACAGAGGCGGCGACACAGAGGAGGCGACACAGGACACAACGGAGGGCGCTCACTTACGACAGCGTCATAGGAGGCCTGGGCTGAGCGCAGGGGGCCCAAGTCGCCGGGGTTCGGGTCGCCGTTGCCGTGGTCCAGACCCACGCCGGGTAGGAGCCCCTCCTGCACCTCCTCGGCCACCTCCTCCTGGCCCAGGCAGGGGATGTTAGCCCAGGAAAGGGACGGGGTCTGCAGCAAGCGCACCCTGGCACCAGAGCCCCGGCAGCTCTCCTGGCCCCACCAGCAGTGGGACAGCCTGGCCCAGCACCAAGGGAGGCCCTGCACCCCACACCTCCTGCCCACTGGGCCAAGTCCCCTTGCGCCAGCCTGCCGGGGCCACGGGAGGGGGTGTCATTTACCTGCACCCACGGCGACGAGGGGGTGGGAGGCGAGGCCTCCCCGGTGGGGACCCCCTTCTGGGAAGTAGCCTCAGGAGGCGGGGGGTGGCTGGGGTTCCGGGGAGCCCCCCGTGGCTCCTCGGTGGGAAGGGGCCCTGCGTCCTTGGCAGAGGCACCCCCCAACGGAGGTAAAATCAGGGTAGACACGGAGGGCGGGCAGCGAATTCAGGGAGGAAAGGAGCGAAAAAGGGAGACAGATGGAAGGGGGGGTTAGTTGGTTAGTGCAAACGTCCCCGTCGGGGTCCGGGGGGGGCAATTCCCGGAACCCAGATCCTTGAAGCCCAGAGGACTGAATGGATATCAGGGAACCTGGATATCGGGGCCAGGAAAGCAGGGCTGACCGAGGCCCAGTGGAGAACAGCACAGCCGCAGCTGACAGGGGGGGTCTGGAGCAGCCCCCAGGCACTGCAGACCAACCCAAGGGGGGGCTTCTCTTGCTCGGGGCCCCTGGGGGGGACAGGTCTTCTCCCTCTCCCCCCACAGCATGCCAATCCCAGCCCCTCCCTCTGTCTCTACCTGTTGGTAGCTGCTTCGTGGCCCCCGGGCTGCCTGGGCCGGTCTGGCTGCCTTCTTCACTGCAGAGGGTTTGTCGGCAATGGTCGCCTTGGCGCTGGGGCTGCTGGCCTTGGGGGTCTTTCCGCCAGCCGAGGGCTTCCCGTTGCCGCTGGGCCCCTTGCGGGTTCCTTGGGGTTCCTTCCTCTCCGGGGCGTCGGTCTTGAGGGCGGCGGGCGAGGGGCCGGGCAGCTGCCGCTTCTGGGGCTGCCTGGCCTTGGGGCTGGTGGGGGGCTTCGTCTTGGCCGGCGTCTAGCGGGGAGGGGGACACAAAGGCAGCGATGGAGGGAGATTGCCGGAGCAAGTCCCAGTGGGGCAGAAAGCAGAGCCAAAGTGGGGGGGGGTGTTTGGCCAGACGGAGCCCTCACTCCAGAGGCACTCCCCTCCCCCAGGACAGAACCCCACTTGGGCCCAGAGTCCCCCTCTGAGGGGGGGGTTCCCCCATTGCTTCTCGCCCTGCCTTCTGGTGATTTGGAGAAGAGATAGACACACACACACACACACACACACACACACAGTCTTCTCTCCGGCAGCCCCTCAAATACTGGAACGCTGCTATCATGTCTCCCCTGATCCTTCTCTTCATGAGATATGCCACATGCTACATTCTTCGTATGTAGAATAGAATAGGATAGGATAGGATAGGATAGAGTAGAATAGGATAGGATAGGATAGGATAGAAAAAGGAATAGAGTAGAAAAAAGAATAGAATAGAATTACAGAATAGAATAGAATAGAAAAAGGAATAGAGAAAGAAATAGAATAGAAAAAAGAATAGAGTAGAATAGAATAGAACTACAGAATAGAATAGAATAGAATAGAATAGAATAGAATAGAATAGAATAGAATAGAATAGAATAGAATAGAATAGAAAAAGGAATTGAGTAGAAAAAGGAATAGAGTAGAAAAAAGAATATAGAATAGAATAGAATAGAATAGAATAGAATAGAATAGAATAGAATAGAATAGAATAGAATAGAATAAGGAATAGTAGAAAAAAGAATATAGAATAGAACTACAGAATAGAATAGAATAAATAGAATAGAATAGAATAGAATAGAAAAAAGAATAGGAATAGGAATAGGAATAGGAATAGAATAGAAAAAGGAATAGAATAGAAAAAGGAATAGAGTAGAAAAAGGAATAGAGTAGAAAAAAGAATAGAGTAGAAAAAAGAATAGAGTAGAAAAAAGAATAGAGTAGAATAGAACTACCGAATAGAATAGAATAGAATAGAATAGAATAGAATAGAATAGAATAGAATAGATCTGGAAGGGACCTCGGAGGTCTTCTAGTCCAGCCCCTCGCTCAAGCAGGAGAACCTATATACCATCTCAGACAGGTGACTGTCTAGTAGCCTCTTCTTAAGAACCTCCACTGACGGACCCCTTAATCGTTTTTTGTCGCTGTTTCTCTGCACACTTTTTAGACTCTCGGCCTCTTTGTCTTCCTGGGGACCAAATTCCCAGCCGTTTCACTTGATCTGATCTGAGTCGCTTGGCAGGCTGAGTCCTCCCCCCCCCCCCGGACTTCAAAAGGCTCCCGCTCAGCGGTCGGCCCCAAAGAGGGGAACAATTCACAATGGACTCAGGTTGGGAGGGGGAGACCGAAACACACACACACACACACACACACCCCGTTGAACCCTGGGGAGAAGATCCGTTACAGCCTCTCAGGAAACTTTCAGGGACAAAAAAATGAGATATTTTTTGCAGAGCGGAGTTCCCTTCGCCAGGACCAACAACTAATGTGGGTGTTTAATCCTGGTTTAAATGCAGGAGCTTCCCTTGGAAGACCAGGGGGATCCAGGGGGACCAGGAAGCAAAAGCCCCAAGAAGGGGGGGAGGCTGACGTTGGTGGGGATGGTTTGACCCCCAATTGAGAGACAGGACACCCAGGAAGCAGACCCAGGCCGAGGCCTCTTCGGCAGGGGGTCCGGTGGCCTGGACCAGGCGAGGAGGGGTCTGCTTCCCACACCACTCTCTACCTGAGATGCCTTGGGGAGTCTGGCACTCGGGGGGGGATCAGACTAGATGGCCTTGAAGAGTCCCTCCCTGCTAAAATCCTAGGAACCCTGCGGCCGTTCCCACCTGGAAACTCCCTTTCTTTTGCACGCCAACCAACAACAAAAAAAAAAAGCATATATTCAATTTGTTGAATTTTACAATCGCTAGGCACCCTGTCTCTGTGCCGCGGGGGCTCCCGTTGCCACTCAAATACGGCACGGAGTCCAGTTGTGTGTTCAGACAAGCCCAGCCTGCTCCCCCCCTTTCCGCCCCCCCTCTCTTATTAAAATTGGGGCTCCAAGCACAAAACCTAAGGAGAAACTTCCTGACAGTGAGAACAATTAACCAGTGGAACTACCTGCCTCCAGAAGCGGCGAATGCGCCAACACTGGAGGTTTTTAAGAAGAGACTGGACAGCCATTTGTCCGAAATGGTATAGGGTTTCCTGCCTGAGCAGAGGGTTGGACTAGAAGACCTCCAAGGTCCCTTCCAACTTTATTATTATTATTATTATTATTATTATTATTATTATTATTATTATTATTATTATTATTATTATTATTATTATTATTATTATTATTACTACTGTTGTTTTGTTGTTTGTTGTTGTTGTTGTTGTTATTATTATTATTATTATTATTATTATTACTATTATTATTATTATTTTGACTTTGGGGGCCAAACGCCGGCAGATAAAATACACCAACCTTCCCCCCCCGCTCGCAGCTTGTTCCCCCGCCCTCACCTCAAGCCTGGGGGGCCTCTGCCCAGCTTCCTGGGCTTGGGGCTTCTGGGGGGGCCCCCCGCAGTCCGGGCTGTAGCGCTGGCAGTAGTCCTGGGCATCCCGGGCGCTGGGGCTGATCAGCAGCTGTTGGATGTCTCCCTGAAAAGACGGGGAAGGGGCACGGCGCAGGTGAGGTGGGGCTCGGAGCCACGGCAGGGGGAGGACGGTGGAAAGAGGGTGTGTGTGTTGGGGGGGACCTCCTACCTCAAAGACCCCCTCGTCCAGGATCCGGGCCCCGAAGATGGTGATGCCCTTGGTGTCCAGCCCGGGGCCGTTCCCCCGCGGGAGGGGCAGGCTGGCTCTCTTCTCGCAGTCCAGGAAGAGGGTCACCTGCTGCTGCTTCACGCTGAAGGCCAGACGATGCCACCTGCGGGGACAAGGCGGACCCCCCCCTACTCAGCCCCTGCAACCCCGCGGGCACCGGAAGGCTGGAGGATTTTTTGGGGGGGAGAACTGGCCGAACGGTGCCCGGCGCCCGCCAGGTGCCAACGTATCTACCCGTCTGCGGTCCCAGGTAAAGAGCTGGGGGGGCGCTTCTGGGCGCCTGTTCTAGGTGCCTCCCCTGCCCCCCTCCCTGGTGGTCTCATAGCCAGTCTCTTTTCCTCCCCCTGCCCCTCCTCTGACAGCCCCCTCCCCAGATTTTAAGCCCCACGAAGAGTTAAACGCCCCTTGAAGCAAGGACGATACATGTCCGAAGGCCTAGCCTTCGTCTGCAGGGGCCAAGGGGCGGGGCCTCCTTCAGCCGAAGGGCCCCGAGGGGAGGGGGCCCAAGACCCAAAGGCTCCCCGGCAGACCCCCTCCCACAACCCCCTGGTCTCTTGCCGCCTCCAGGCCCAGGACTGTGAGCTGCGGAGTGCCAAAAAAGACGCAGGGCACCGTGAGGCCACGCAGCCCACCTCCTGGTTCCAAGCGTGAACTGGAGGTCAAGCCCCACAGAGGGGGGGGGTCTCCAGCTTCCACTTGGACCAACTAAGGGAAGTGTGGTGTGCGGGCACCCCTATCCCCACCACTACACTGACGCCGGGAGCCTCCGGAGCCAGGTGGGGGATCCAGGATGCCGGTGGGCGAGAAACAGGCTGCCCCCCACTTGGAGACCCCTGGAGCCTTCCTCCACTTCTGCCCCCTGACCTCTTTCCCCTTCTGGGGTCCCCCGGGCTCTTCTGCTCCCCAAAGCAGACCCCCCCACTTCTTCCCCCCCCTCCAGGGAGAGGCGGGCTTAGCTGCCACGGCCGTCACTCACAGGCTCCCCCCGAGGTTCCGACCCCGGAGCCGTCGCAACGGGGCTGACCGGCTTCCCCCGTGGGGGACTCACCTGCCGTCGGTCAGGTTGGCCCCTCGGAAGACCGGGAGCTCCTCGGGGTCCGGCCGGCCGCCCTGGTCACGGTAGAGGAAGCGCGGGGAACGGCCCAGCTCGATGCCTAACTGCTGCCCACCGTGCCGGTCGTAGACGGAGAGCAGGACGGCCGTGTGGCCCGGCTCGGCCTTCAGTAGCGCCATCACGGAGAAGTCCCGGGGGAACTCACCTGGATGGGGGGCAGGGAGGGGGGGCAGAGATGCAGCCGGGATCCCTGGCTGGGTGGGGGGTGGATAGGGGGATCCGCGGGCTCTTGCCCTCCTACGGACCCCCAAGGGCAGG